TTTTCGATTTTATTTTCTGCCTATCATTCTGATTCGCTCATTATCTCCCCCCTCGAGAATATCCCCTCTTGGGACCCGGTTTCTGTACAGGAAATTAAACATTTAATTAATAACTTGAAAAAAGGCAAAGCTCTAGGCAGTGATTTCATCACTGCTGAAGCTCTAAAGGCCAATCTTGACTGGTGGGCCCCAATTTTGGCCAATCTTTTTACATACATAGATCAATCTGGCCAAATTCCAACTGAATGGGGTCTCTCCATAATAATTCCTTTATATAAGAAAGGTAGTAGATCTGACCCGAACAACTACAGACCAATAAGTCTGCTAAATATTATCTGTAAGTTATATTCCCAATATCTTTGCCTTAAACTGTGTGCTTGGATGGCAAGCGAACACATTCTTAATATCGAGCAAGCGGGTTTCAGTAATCCACTCTGAGGAACTTTTGCTGAAACATCTATTGGAGGACAAATCCATGGCAATATCAAGGAATGTTGCCAAATTTCTCTTTATTGTATTTACAAAGCGTAAGCTCCTCCTCAATGTTCCTCATGATGTCTCTTCTCTGTAATGCTTTTTGCTTTTGATTCTGTATGCTGTTTAATGGGTCTCTGACCGTAATAAAAATGAATGAATGAATGAATGATGCTGCAGGCCGCAGGACGAGGCAAAGGGTTACCGTCTGCGGCCACAGCATGGTCTTCTGGGCAGCACATCAAGCCAGAAGGACATCCAGCGGCTCTCAGCTTGGCCTTAGTGCTTGGGCGGAAGTGGAATGGCTGGGGAGGAGGGGCATGTGATGGCCCGCGCTCCTTCCCCTGCTGTTTGATGAGAGGAAGGGGCCTCCTCCTCATGTCCTGGGGGGCAATGACCTGGGTCTATTGAAGGGCAAGGCCCTTGTGTTACAGGCTGAGGCCGACCTTGTGAGGATAAAAGCAAGGCGGCCCAGTGTGAAGATAGTATGGTCAGCCATACTGCCCCGCCAGGTGTGGCAGAACTTCGAGGACCCCAGGTGTATTGACCACATCAGACACAAAGTTAATAGGCAGCTGAGAAAGGCCATAGATGCTGGGTTGGGTATGTTTTTGCCACACCCCGATATACAGGTTGTTTTCCCGGACCTATATAGGGCTGACGGGGTGCATTTGTCTGACAAGGGCAATGGGATATTTTTACAGGACTTGCATCAAGGGATTAGGTTGGCATTAGGATGCTGAGTGGGGAGCAAAGGCCAAAGCAGAGGCTTGACCTTAGCTGTGGCAGGTTTGTGCAAGCAAGAAAACGGAACTGGTGAGCACCTCACAGCATATCCTGTTATGGAACAGGGAGACATCAGGAACTGCCTTCGGATTCCAGGGTCCTAGGTGGGGAATGGTGATCACCTCCACTGGGAACCTTTTAGGGCAGTCTCCTCTCTGCAAGTTGGAAGGCTTCAGGGGTAGGTGCTCCTAGAGGGCAACCAGTTTGCTGGGCTGCTGGTCACGAGCCAGAGAGTTGGCTCAAAACCGGAGCTGGGTGACCCACCCTTCAAGGGCAAGGGGGTTGGTCAGGGAGTGACGCCTGCCTTGCCTGTTCCATGCTTGCTTAGTTGTCTTTGCTGCAATGTTCTGTTAAATAGTTAATAAAGTGGCCCTTGTTTTATTCCAAATCATTGTCTGTCTCGTTATTCTGGCTGGGGGGGGGGGCAAATGGTTAGTCCCAAAAATCTCTCTTTTTTCTGCCTTGTTTGAAGTTTTGAGACAAAAGACAAAAACTCTTTTGAAGTTTAGAGACAATATTTTCCTTGCCTTTCTCTATGAAGCCAGGTGGTTGTCTCATGTAGATTTCTTCTTCTAGATCTCCATACAAGAAGGCAGTCATCACATCTAGATGGTCAACCTGCATTCCCTTACTTGCAGCAACAGTAAGAACAGTTCTTATAGTTGTGTGCTTTACTGCAGGTGCAAAAGTCTGATCATAGTCCTCTTCATACTTCTGAGAATATCCTTTAGCCACCAGTCTGCCATTGTGGCGCTGGGCCTTCCCATTTGCATCGTGCTTCCTCTTAAAGACCCATTTGCATCCTATTGAGTTCTTCCCTTCGGAAAGCTCAGTGAGTGTCCGTATGTTAAGCTTGTGTAGCACATTCAGCACTGCTCTTGCTGCTTGCTTCCACTCCTGTGCCTCTTGAGGTGGTAGGCGGGAAATGTCTGCATACGATGAAGGCTCTGGTTCTTCCGCCACTTCTGCAAGCAGATTCAGCTTTGGGTCTGGAATACCTCTGGTAGAACACTGTGATCGTCTCACCTCAACTTATTCGGTCTCTCTGGGTTCCCTTTGTGGTTCAGACATGACTGGTGGAGTGTCTTATGCAGCTACAGCATCTTGGGAAGCTTCATCTGGTTGGGTCTCATCAGGATCAGCATCTTCTGCTTCTTCCTTGATGTCACTTACACCTCGGTACGCAAGTAGTTTGTCCACTTCTGTGTTGGCCCCCTTTGAAGCAGTAGGACTTTCATTTTCATCAGAATGGACAGATCTAGAAATTGTTATCTCATGTGTCTTTGGATCCATTATTCTGTAGGCTTTGCTACCTCACCTACCTCACAGGGTGTCTGTCATGGGGAGAGGAAGGGAAGGAGACTGTAAGCCACTCTGAGACTCTGAGTGAAGGGTAGGGTATAAATCCAGTCTCCTCTTCCCTCTTCTTCTCTTAGCAGCTGAGTAGCTAACAAACATGCCTTCTTTGGCATGGTCACTCAGCTTTGATTCTCTCTTTTCTTTAGACAGGTATGCAAAGGCTCTGCAGCCAAACACTCATGAGCCATGTTAGGTTTGTGGCCAAACCAAAGTTCATATGGAATTCTACCTACAGACTTTGTGATCAGTCTATTGTGTGTATATGCCACTGTCAAAATGGCTTTACCCAATGGGGTGTGTGATAATTGTGCGTCCTTAAGCATGTATCTTACCATTGTGATAAGAGTCCGATTATTCCTTTCAGCTACCCCATTCTGCTGTGGTTTGTAGGGCATAGTTGTCTGGTGCTGGATGCCTTGCTCTCTCAGGAGCTCTTGCATTGCATTCGAGGTGAACTCTCCTCCATTATTGGATTTGAGCACTTGGGGCTTCTTCCCAAACCTGTTGCTCACCATTGCAGTGTAGTTCTTGAATCTGTCAAGAACCTGCACTTTGTTTTCAAGCAAATAAAGAGTTATGTATTTACTGTGATCATCAGTGAATGTCAGGAAATATTTATAACCTGCTACCGTGGGAGGCAGTGGTTCACAAACATCTGAGTGGATCAAATCCAGGATCTCCATGGTCGTCTTCTCCCAGTGCTTTGGAAATGGTTGGCTAGTAGCTTTTCCTTCTAGGCAACAAACACCATCAAAGTTAGTTTTGCATTTAACACAGTCTATTCCAATTGCAAGATCCTTACTTTGCATGTCCAAAATGTTCTGTATGACACATCCGGTGGTGCCAAAGATGTGTGTACATGTCATGAGAACACATTTTAGCAGCATTCATTTTGTACAGGTACATCATCTTCAAAATCATCATTACATTTACTGTATTCCATTTCATCACTTGTACTTAATTGTGGTAAACCTTTTCTCTGTACATGATACTGTCCATTCTTTCTCGTTCCTGTCAGGAAGACTTTCCCTTCACGAGATAATGTGCATTTGCCATTGAAAAATTCCACTGTAATTTTGCTTCTCAAATTCAGAGACAGCCAACAGATTTCCACTGATAAAGACAGCACATTCGTTATTTCTAATCCTTTGGCACCATCTTTTGGCCAGAGTATGATGGTGCCAGACATTCTTGAATATATCGTATTTTTATCTCCAAACAATACATATTGCGAAACAATTCCAATGAGCCTGACATGATTACTAGCTCCTGAATCAATAATGAATGACTTTGACTTGCATGTCCACTCAAAGATGCTGTGAAGTTTCTAGCCTTAAAACTTGTACTAGTCTCTGTATTTTCTCTCTTATGTGTGGTTTTACAGGGACTTTACATTGAAGAATCTTTATGCCCAGTCTTCTTACATCCGAAGCATCAGATTTCAAAGGGCTTTCCCGCTGAAGAATAGCCTGGCTGACCACCCTGCTGTGTCTTAATGACTATTGATTGCCCTTGGCGGATGCCAGTTTTGGCATTAGAGAATACACAAGAGGCGGGACCCGCGATACTCAAGGGGAGTATTTCCTACAGCTCCCGGCCTGCAGAAGCGGCATCAGGTGAGCCCATCCTTTTCCCTCCCTCTACCCCCAGTGGTGACGGTGAGGCCAGTGCTTGGTAGTTACTGCCCAGGCTTCTCCACCAAGGCGTGCACTGCCGATTTGGAACAACTGAGCCTCAGGTGACAGTTCAGTGCAAAGCAGGCGAAGCAGGCAAGCTGGCTGTGTGAGTGAGGGCAGGCACAGGAGAGGGAGAGAAAGCAGCAACAGTAACTGTATTAGGCAACTTCTCATCAGGAGGGGCAGGCAGGCAGCCGGCGCTGGACTGGGGAAGGCAGCTTCCCACCCTTTCTCCACTTGTTCTGCATTCCTGGAGTGGGGCTGGACTGGAGTCGGATCGCAGAGCCTGTGAGTGTTCTGAAAATGCAGGAGTCAGCCCCTTCCATCCTCCCTCCAGATTTTCTCCCCCTCCTCACCCCCCTTCCACTTCTCAGGTCTCTGTTCCTAGTTTCTCTCCCTGCGCACACTCACTTGCTCCCCCCTCCCCCATTGACTCCTGAGACTGTACCGTGAGGGACGGGGAGGAAAGGCTCCTTGTCTTCCTCGGGATCAGGATAAAGCCTCTGCCTGTCGGGTCCACCTGTATACAGATCTGTGGGGTAGTGACAGTTTCTGAGTTGGCAGTTTGTGTTGCGGGTGGACGGCTGGAGCCACGAGCCCTTGTCCTCACGGCTCCAACAGCTGCTCCTGTCGTTCTTAGCAGCGGTGTGTGCAGCCGCACAGCTTTCCTTGAGCTCCTGAGCGTTCTTCTGGGGATCTGAAAGTAGAGAATGCAGTTTGACTTTGGGAGGGGATTTGAGTATCCCACGTATACTTTTTAAAACATGTACAATTTTTCTACAACCCTGGAGAGTACTCCAAGAGTGCAGAAAAACCTCTTTAGCCTCCAGGTACCCTTGTTTTGCGGAAATAAGTATCCGCATGCAGGGGGTGCCTTTCGCTATTAGTAAATAGATGCTCAGGCTGAGAGAATCTTTGTCTCTGGTTAACAAATACTTTGTGAGCAAACTCCTGAGACAATGCAGAAACATCAGCATGCAAATTTTTGCATCTTTGCAGTTCAGTTGAAATTTCAGCAACGGCTGATTCAAAATTTAAATCTCCTTTAATTTGCAGAAAGCTAATTGAAAAGTACTCAGAATGTGGAGTGATTCAGCAAGAGTGATTCAGCAAGAGTACTTTATTAGTTCAGGAACAAGACAAAGAAACCAGCTCGCAGGCCGGTTTATATGCGTTCAGAAAACCCGCCACCAAGCACACCTAAACACACCCCCTACTCCCGATAGGCTATTTACAGTAACCGGGCGACCATTGGTCTCCCGGCTGGGAAGCTAGCCCTTTGATTGGGCCGGCTAGGATCCTATGGATCCTTTGTCTTTCGACTGAAGCTACTGAGGAATATTGCCTGGTCAGCCCGGGCAAGTCCGGGCATGTCCGGCTGAATGCACTACACGTGGTAATGGCGACAGTACATTACACCCCTCCCCCCATAGTCCAAACTACCCACATACAAAGTCCTGTAGATACGCGGGGGCCTTCCTGGGCCTTGTAGAGCGGCGGAGGTCCGGGGTGCTGTTCGGGGCTGCTCCTTGTGGCCGTGGCGGGGCGGTTTGCTGTGGCGTTTCCGACGGCGGTGTTTCCTGCGGGGGCAACGCCGGGGGCTCCAGAGTGACCGGGGCCGAGGCCGGGTTCTGCGGTTCGGGTGCGTGGCCTGAAGTTTCGTTGTGCTCCTGGGGCTCCAGGTCCTCGGGGTCGTTCGGAAGGACCCGGCGCCGCAGTTGGTCGATGTGGCGGTGTAGCAGTTGTCCGTCCTCACAGGAGACCTCATAGGAGCGCGGGCCTCGCACCCGGACCACTCTCGCAGGGATCCAGGGTGGCCCCTGGGCGTAGTTCTTAGCGTAGACTGGGTCTTCCGGGAAGAACCCTCGGGCGGCTGCGTGTGATTCCGATGTCGGTTCCATCTCGGGGGCCCTGTCTGGGTGTAGACGGTCCAGCCGGGAGGTTAGGCGACGACCCATCAGGAGCTCCGCCGGGCTGCAGCCGGTCTCGGTGTGCGGGGTCGTGCGTTGGCCGAACAGGAACACCGCCAGCTTGTAGTCCCAGTCCTTACTGTCGAACTTGCGCAGTGTTTCCTTGGTGGTGCGCACCATGCGCTCCGCCTGGCCGTTGGTTGCCGGGTGGAAGGGCGCTGACCGGACGTGTCGGATTCCACAGTACCTCGTGAAGTCCTGGAACTCGCTGGAGGTAAATGCTGTGCCGTTGTCGGTCACCAGGGTGTCTGGAAGGCCGTGGGAGCTAAAAATGTGGCGCATGGCTCTGATGGCGGCCTTCGAGGAGGTAGACGGTACCGGCACCACCTCCAGCCACTTACTGTAAGCGTCCACTAGAATGAAAAAGATTTGTCCCTGGAACGGCCCCGCAAAGTCCAAGTGTAGCCGGGACCAAGGTTTGTGGGAAGACTCCCAAGCTCGATCGGGCGCTCGGGGCGGTGCGGGCCGGAACGCCTGGCAGGGTTGGCACAGTTTCACCAGTCTCTCAATGTCCTGATCGAGGCCGGGCCACCACACATAACTCCGAGCCAGCGCTTTCATCCGCACCACTCCTGGGTGAGCCTCGTGCAATGCTGCAAGTACTCGGTCTCGGAGTGGGGAAGGGATTACCACCCGACCTCCCCACAGCACACAACCCTTGTGAGCAGACAGTTCGTCTTTGCGCGAGGCATAGGCCGCAAAGTCGGGTCCCGCCGAGGCCAACGGCCACCCCCTTCTCACCCAGTCCAGGACGCGGCAGAGGATAGGGTCCTTTTCGGTGCGCCGGGCCACCTCTTTCACGTGAACCGGCTGGTCGGGCAGCGTTTCCAGCAGCGCGATGTGATGGGCTGGGGCCGGGTCAGGCTCCGTTTCCGGCAGAGGCAGGCGGCTCAAGGCGTCCGCGTGGCCCATTGCCTTCCCGGGCCGGTGCAGGAGCCTGTAGTTGTAGCCCGCCAGGAAGACGGACCACCGGATCACTCGGGGCGAAGTCATCTGGGGGGTCTGGCGGTCCGGGGCGAACAGACCCAGGAGAGGCTTGTGGTCCGTGGGGACCGTGAAGGGCCGGCCGTAGAGGTAGTGGTGAAATTTTTTCACCCCGGCCACTATAGCAAGAGCCTCCTTGTCAATCTGCGCGTAGTTGCGCTCCGCCGCAGACAAGGTACGGGAGTAATAGGCCACAGGTACCTCCCGACCGTCAGGCAGTTTGTGCCCCAGGACCGCCCCGACCCCATATGGAGAGGCGTCGCAAGCCAGCACCACCGGCAGGTCCTCGTTGAAGTGTGCGAGTACCGAATTTGAGACGAGGAGGTCTTTGACCGCCTGGAAAGGCGCCTGCTGAGCCGTCCCCCAGACCCACGGCGCGCCCTTGTCGAGGAGCCGATGGAGGGGTTCGGCTACTGCAGCTTTGAGGGGAAGAAAAGAGTGGTAAAAGTTCAGGAGGCCTAAGAAGGCCTGTAGCTCGGTCTTTGATGTGGGGGCTGGGGCGTTCGAGATCGCTCTGGTCTTCTCCGCCGTGGGGTGAATGCCCTGTGCGTCGACCGCGAACCCTAGAAACTCCACTTTGGGCACGCCGAGCAAGCATTTTTCGCGCTTCACCTTCAGCCCCGCCTGGTCGAAGCGTTGGAGAACGGTACGGAGTCGGGTGGCAAACGACGCGGCGTCGGGGGCGGTGATCAAGACGTCATCTAGAAAGGGCTGTACCCCGGGGATACCTTTGAGGAGAGAGTCCATGAAAGATTGAAAAATCCCCGGAGCCACCGAGACGCCGAACTGGAGCCGGTGGACCTTGAAAGCCCCTCTGTGCGTGGCGATCGTCTGGGCTTCCGCCGTGGCGGCGTCCACCGGCAGCTGCTGATAGGCCTGCGCCAAGTCCAGCTTTCCAAATATGCGAGCCCCCGCGAGCGCCGCCAGCACGTGGCTGACCACCGGAACGGGGTACGCGTGGTCCTGCAGTGCTTTGTTAATTGTGCACTTATAGTCCGCACAGATCCGGACGTCCCCGTTTGGTTTGATCGGTGTGACAATGGGGGTTTCCCAGCGTGCCGATGCCACCGGCTCCAACACCCCTTGCGCCACCAGCTTGTCGAGTTCCGCCTCGATTTTCGGCCTTACCGTTAAGGGCGGAAACCTGGCCTTGATCCGTATGGGCCGGACCGCCGGGTCCAGGTCCAGGGAGATGGGGGCCCCCGTGAACTTGCCTAAGGACCCATCGAAAACCCGGGGGAATTCGTTGCAAACGTCCGCGAAATCGGCTTGCTGCAGCTGGTGGATGCCCCCGATGGTCAGGCCCAGCGGCTTAAACCACGACATCCCCAGGAGACTGGAAAGCCGGCCCCCCACCACCAGAATGTCCAAACAACCCTTGAAGTCCTGGAACTCCACCAGGAACGTGCCCCAGCCCCGCACCACCACAGGATTCTTATTGAAATCCTGAAGCCTGATGTGTGGTTTGCGCAGAGGGGGTCCCCCGTTGGGACACACTGTCCGCAACGTCTCCTCCGAGATAATGGTAAACTCGGAGCCCGTGTCAAGTTCCATGCTACAGGGGGACCCCTCTATCCGGACCGTAACATGGACTTTGTTTCGGCTCTGACGGGGCAAGTCACCTACCTGGGGCTGGGGCTGGTGGCCGACGGCATTTGTGTCGATCGAATGGAGGTCCACAGTGTGGATGGGTTCCCACTGGTGGCTGGGTTTCCTGGGTGGCTGGCGGCGGCTGCGGCAGACCTTGGCGATGTGGCCCTGCTTGTTGCAGGACCTGCAGACCGCCTCGCGGAAACGGCAGCTCCGACGTTCATGCGCGTCCCCGCAGCTGGCACAGGAGGAAGCTGGCTCCGACGGCCTCGCTGGCGGTGCGCCCTTCGAACGGTGAGGTTGTGACGGCTTGCGGTGGAGTTGCGCCACTGCCTCCTCTTCGGAGTCTGCCGAATCCCCTCCGGCTTGGGTGCGGTGTACCCGATGGCCGCCGTGGCCCGGGTGCTCATTCTCGAAGGCAGCCGCATCCTTTAAAGCCGTGGCTAGCGTGAGGTCATCATCCCGAATGAGGCGCCTCCTCAGTTTGGCCTCTCGTAAACCCAACAAGAACTGATTCAGCAGGGTCTCGTCCAGGTTGCTGAAATCGCATTTCATGGCGGCCTTGCGAAGGTTGGCCAGGAAGTCCGCAGCTTTCTCTTCGGGGCCCTGGACCTTCACAAAAAAATCCATGCGGGCCGCAAATTTGGAGGGCTGTGGCGCTAGATGGGCCGTGAGAGCCGTGATGAGGGCCTCGAAGCTCACCTCCTCTACCTCCTTAGGTGAGATTAGGTTCTGCAGAAGGAGCAGGGTGTCCATCCCACACAGCCGGATGAGCTGGGATCTCTTCAATTCGGCGTCGGTGACCCGCATGCAGGCAAGGTAGTGCTTGAGGATCCTCACCCATGTGGTCCATCGTTCGGGGTGGGCCAAGTCAAACGGAGCGATGCCTTCGTGCGAGGTCCCTGCTGGAGCGGCGGTGGCGACCCCGGAGGATGCGTTGGGCCCGGAGGATGAGGAGGTGGAAGCAGAGGAGGGAGCGGAGGTGGCGTTTTGCTCCGACATTTCCGCGGATGCTCGTGGACGCTCGGAGGACCGGGTGAGGCGGGCGCGCTGGTCGGGCGAGCTTAGCCTGAAGCGTGCTAGGCGTGGAGAGCGATGCTGCTGCTCGAGGGGTCAGCAGTGTGCAAGCGGAGCCGGGAGCGGAGCGATGAGCAGTTGCCGGAGAGCTGGGATGCGAAGTTGCGCGGTTCCCGGAGAGGTCTCGGCGTCAGGCTCGGTGCGGTACTCGTGTTGGCGTCCGGGTCTTGTTCATGGGGTCGTAGATCCCACCTTCGTCGCCAGTGAAAAGTACTCAGAATGTGGAGTGATTCAGCAAGAGTGATTCAGCAAGAGTACTTTATTAGTTCAGGAACAAGACAAAGAAACCAGCTCGCAGGCCGGTTTATATGCGTTCAGAAAACCCGCCACCAAGCACACCTAAACACACCCCCTACTCCCGATAGGCTATTTACAGTAACCGGGCGACCATTGGTCTCCCGGCTGGGAAGCTGGCCCTTTGATTGGGCCGGCTAGGATCCTATGGATCCTTTGTCTTTCGACTGAAGCTGCTGAGGAATATTGCCTGGTCAGCCCGGGCAAGTCCGGGCATGTCCGGCTGAATGCACTACACGTGGTAATGGCGACAGTACATTACACTAATCACATTTGCAAAAGTTTCTGGTAGAGAAATGAAAAATTCCGTGACCTTTCTCTGTTCATCTGAAGTGTCACTGAGAGTCCCTTGGACTGCAAGAAGATCAAATCAGTCAATCCTAAAAGAAATCAACCCTGACTGTTCCCTGGAAGGCCAGATAATGAAACTGAAGCTCAAATACTTTGGCCACCAAATGAGAAGGGAGCACTCACTGGAGAAGACCCTGATGCTGGGAAAGATTGAAGGTCAAAGAAGACAGGGACGGCAAAGGATGAGATGGTTAGACAGTGTCATAGATGCAACGAACATGAAATTGAGCCAACTTCAGAGGATGGCGGAAGACAGGAAGGCCTGGCGTGATCTGGTCCATGGGGTCGCAAGGAGTTGGACTCGACTGTGCGACTGAACAACAAAAAGTGTTTCCTGTTCTGGGATTTATTTCAAAACCATCAAAGTTCATGAGAAGGCAGCCTGCTGGTTTTGCAATGAGGGATTTAAAGATTTTACTTTTTCTCAACAGAACAACACGGTCCTTTTCCTGCAAGACGTGATTGCCAATACAGCAAATTTTCCTGGGGCCATTTCAGATGGGAAAAAACAACACAAGGAGGGAAGTCTTACTACCACCACCACCCCCTTTGCATCATGGTCCCAGTTGGAATTGGGGCCCTGGGGTGTGATTTTCAAAGGAAAATGTGTTGTTGAGCTCTTTTTTAAAAACTTTGCTCGGATGGTCAACTCAGGGTGTACCCATCCTCTCCTTTTGGACCCAGCCAGTGTGGGTGCAAACCCAGGAGAGGTGCTGGGCTGCCAACTATGGGCTGGAAAATTCCTGGAGATTCAAGGGTGGAGCTTGGGGAGGGTGGGATTTGGAGAGGGGAAGGACCCCAGTAGGGTATAACCTTCCAAAACAGCAATTTTTTCTCCCAAGGGGGACAGACCTGAGTCATCTGGAGATCAGTTTTAATTCCAGGAGATCTCCAGGCCCCACCTGGAGGTTAGCAACCTTACATACTGCTGATGGTTGAGAATGAGCCTATGGTGACTCAGCACTTTCGTCGCTGGGCAGCCCCTCGGTGACTCGGCCAAATAACCAGCCCTGGCTAGACAGGTAAGCAGGGTGGTCTTTTCAATGCATGCCTATGGATCCAGTAGAGATAACTGAACCATATAGTGTTGACTCAGGTGGGTAGATGTATTGGTCTGAAGGAATGGAACAAAGTTTGAGTCCAGTGGAACCTTTAAGACCAATAAAATTTAATTCTGGGAATAAGCTTTTGTCTGCATGCATGGCACACAAAAGGTTATACCCATAATTAAAGTCTGTTGGTCACCTACCTCACAGGCAATGCTCCCTCTAAGCTGGGGAGTCCTGTGAGCAAAAATTCTACTTTGTGAGCAACCAGCATTAAAGTTGTGAGCGAGCGATTTGGCTACTGCATCAAATCAGTTTGCTCTGGAGCCATCCTTCCTGAGCTAAGACAAAAATGGGTGAGCTAGCTCACACTAACTCAGCTTAGAGGGAACCCTGCTCACAGGGTGTCTGTTGTGGGGAGGGGAAGGGAAAGGAGTTTGAAAGCCGCTCTGAGACACCTTTGGGTAGTGAAGGGCGGGGTATAAATCCAATCTCTTCTTCTTCTTAAAGGTGCCACTGGACTCAAACTTTGTCACAATGTTGACTGTGAATCCAGAACAAGGGCTGCAGTTATGAAGGTGGTGTGTGATACTGTACTGAAAGGAGGACTGTAAAAAGGGGAAACAAAACTTCTTGCCCATCTTAACAGAGCATCAGAGTTTACCACCACCACCACCCCGCGCTTCTGGTCTTGGCAGTGTGCCTGGTATTGCCATTGAACCACTCCATTTTACTACTCTGTTATTAACAGCCCTGCCTTTTCTATATGCAGTTTTAACTGTGGATAAAAACCCCCAAACATTCCGTAAATGTCTCCTTTCTTTGCATCAGAGGAGCAATAGACCCACTTGCCTATTAAAAATCACCGCTAGAAGCAAAAGCCTCCCCTTTGTGAATAAAACATGTATACACCACACACACTCACACACAGATGCCCACCACAGGCTTTCCTCCCTACATCTGATTGGCTTGTTACCAAAGCACAAGTCCCCGAGAGCAGGTGTGGACTATGTTGGTGTTCTGGGGAAGAGCAAGGGGGCCAATCTGGCAGGCAGAGCAGAGAGCTGGATTGCAGTTAGCCTGCAGGGGAGGAGGAGGAGGAGGAGGAGGAGGAGGAGAAGGAGAGCGAGGAGGAGGAGGAGGAGGAGGAGGAGGAGGAGGAGGAGAAGGAGAGCGATTCACATCTTTCTCCTCGCAAGATCACAGCTGGGCCATTTCCAAAGCAGTCGGGATGATCAGCTAACGCCAATGCTTTGCTCAGCAGCAGGTGCGTAAAGAAATGCAATTCAACAGAGGTTTGCTTTTGTGTCTTTCACGGGGACCATTGCCCACTGGGCAGCAGTTTTGCATAATGTCACCTTGAGGTGGCTGTAGAGCTGAGGACGTGGAGCCAAGAATGCTCCCAGAGCCTAGCAATGCTGGCAGAGCATCCCCTGAGGCTCCTGGTCCCACGTGAAACCTGGGGCTTCGGATCCTGAACGTGTGTTGATTGCAGCCTAGGAGCATCTGCAAGGTCCAGAAGTTCCTTAGACATCTGTGTGTGTCTCCTTTGGGTACAATTTCCAGTTAGGGGTAGTTTGTTTTCAGTGCTGCTGGGCTGGAGTTGTGCCACTTTGCAAGGTCTGTCCAGAGGCTGTTTCTGAAATGTTTAAGATGCTGCTGCTGCTGCTGCTGCCACCACCTGCTGCCTCTAAGGCTTCTCGGGCTCCCTTTGAAATGGGGTCCTCAGGGTATGAGAGCAAAAGCTGTGGGACCATCCATGGTCTTGGGGACCTGCAAAACTCTTCCATTTCAGGGTCTGTTTCAGAGTCACAGGGATCTGAAACAGATTCTGACAGAGAACATTTTTGCCAGTTCATAAAACTAAGAAAAACAAGCACAGACTGTTGTCAGGGTGAAGCTTTCTTTTGGTCTATTTATTGCATTTTTATCCCACCCTTTTCCCAAGGAGCTCAGGGAAACATACATGGTTTGCCCACCTCCATGTTACCCTCACAACACCACTATGTGGGGTTGCCAACTCTGAGTTAGGATATTCCTGGAGATTTGTGGGTGGAGCCTGGGAAGGGAACTCTGCAGGGAGGTGGTGCCTTAAAGTCGAGCCCCCCAAGCTGTGATTTCCTCCAGGGAGACTGATCTCTGCAGTCTGGAGATCATTTGTAATTCTGGGAGAACTGCAGACCCCACCTGGAGGTTGGCAACCTTACATGTGAGATTGGTTAGATGGAAAGAAAGTGTCTGACCCAAGGTCACCCAGTATATTAAATAGAAAGGAGCAATTTTAACTCAAGTCTCCCCATTCGTTCCCCCTCTGGGACAGACTTTCCTTCTGGGTATATAAACCAAGTGATGATCTTCAGCCATGAATCTTTAAAAAGGCAGGGCTTTGTGGCACTTAGAAGGTCCAATACAACCTGGGCCAAGCGGCCACTGTTGCTGAGTGTAAATAAAGCTCCGTGTCCAGAGAGCCTGTGGGTCACCATATGGGTAGAGCTGCCACAGGGGAGTAATGAACAAGTAAGTAAAGAAGACGGGGACAGCAAAGGATGAGATGGTTAGACAGTGTCATAGATGCAACGAACATGACATTGAGCAAACTTCAGAGGACGGTGGAAGACAGGAGGGCCTGGCGGGAGCTGGTCCATGGGGTCGCAAAGAGTCGGACTCGACTGTGCGACTGAACAACAACAAAGTAACAACACATGATAAGGAGGGTGTTATTTCCACACTCACAATTTATTCTCCTTACATCTGTGGGTTTCAGACTATGCCATGAGAGAGCCGCATGGCTCAGCAGAAGTTTATCCTGGGCTTCTCAGTAGGAAGGGGGGGGCGTACTCCAATGGCAGAGCCGTGGCTTGGCATGCAGAAGGTCCCAGGTTTGATCCCTGGCATCTCCAGTTACAAAGGACCAAGGAGTAGATGATGTGAAAGACCTTTTATCTGAGACCATGGAGAACCACTGCCAGTCTGAGAAGACAAGACTGGCCGTGATTGACCAACGGTTTGATTCAGCATAAGGCAGTTTCATGTGTATTCAAGATTGTTTGCTCTCCTGCTTCCAAGGAGATTGCAGGATGAAACACACTAGTGCATGGGCAGCGTCAAAGTCTGATAGTGTCAAGTGAGAGAAGCACCCTGAAATCCTCCATTAACACTCAGAAGTCCTTGGCAGACACAACTGCCTTGTAAAGAAAAGGCAGGGTGTGAGTGAAACTGAAAAGAAGCAGGAAATTACAAACAAATTAAGTGTGGTTATGGAGCCTGAAAACTGCTCTCCTAGATAATTTGATTTTCTATGCATAATTTAGCTTTAATAATAGAGCACCTAATGCAGAGTGTTATTGTCTTTGCTTGGGGCTGACAAGAAAAGAGGAATATGGGTACAAGTAAGCATCTTCCAAGGATTATCCTTTTTCGTTTGAGAGCCACCATGTATGCACAAATGCTCATCTGCATGTGTCCTTCCTGCTTGTCTCCTTCTAGAGTCATATTTAGACCTGCCATTAGCAGTAAACAAGGTAGACTGTAAGAGCAAAATGGGACCACTCACGTAGTGTTTCCAACTCCAGGCTGTAAAATTCCTGGACATTTTGAATGTGAAGCTAGGGCTGCCAGGTCCCTTCTGGCAACTGGTGTGGGATAGGGAGACTTGCCTGGAGAAAGGCCCAAGCCTCATCACTGGCATCACACAGGAAGTGATGTCATCATACCAGCAATATCCAGGTAACGCTTTGGTATTTGGGCAAAAACCTTACAGTATAACTAGTATAGAGGTTTTGCCAAATTAACAGAGCATCACCTGGATGTTGCTGGTGTGATGATGTCACTTCCTGTGCAACACTGACAACAAAGCCTGGGCCTTCCTCTTTCTCCACATAGGTCCCCACCACCACCAGCCATCTGATTGGTGGCTAGGGACAGGGCCTGGCATCGGGGTACCCTCGCCTCCAGCAGGGGGTCTGGCAACCCTCGGTGGAACCTGGGGAGGGCAGGTTTGCTGAGAGAAAGGAGCTCAGCAGGGTGTAATGCCTAGGGTTGCCAGGTCCCTTCATCTCTCTGACGGGGTGATTGGGGGGGTTCCAGGGGTGGGCGGGGATGCCCCCAAGCCCCACCCCCAAGAGTGGCCAGGCACAGCCACCCCTCTCCCTCCCCTCCTGCAAGATTTAAAAGGCTTCAGCTGATCGACGGGGAGCACCTGGCCTGCAGATCAGCTGGAGGGCCCTTTAAATCTTTCAGGAGGGAGGGAGAGGGGGTGTTTGTAATGATTCCTTGTTTTGATGTGTGTGTGTTCCTTTAAATGTTAGTTTTACTGCAGTAATGCAAGGAGGGCGATGGAGGGAAATTTGTGTGCTGTGATTGGCTGATGACTGAGAGTGTGGGAGGGGATGTTCTGAGAAGTGTGTGTGTTTTATGACAGAGTTCAGTGTTCTGTGTGTCTTTGGAAAGTGAAGTGTGGAAGAGCCATTAAAGAGAGTCTGTGGAACTCTTAAAGTAGTGTAAGAGAGTCTATAAGGAAAAGAAACCAGTTGTGTCTAAACTGTGTGATTAGACCAATATTTTATCCTGTGTGGAAAAGTCAAAGAGTTTAGCCAGTTTGGCTACATATGTGAGGAAGAGAGAGAATCCTGTCAGAGTGGAATTTTGGTGTCTGAGAGACTGGTGTGACACCAAGCTTACTAGTTATATTTTACAAGTTCCCTTTTCCAGAAACCTATTTTATTCTTATTTCAATAAATCCATTTTTGTTTAAATATCCTCAGGGCCACATAGTCCTCTGAAGTGCCCAGCCCCTGGGTTACACTACCAAAGGAGAGAGAGTTGGAATTTTAAATTCCTGGTGGCGGCAGAAACTACCAAGTTCATATTCACAAAGTGTGAATTAAAAGTTAAAACCGTTTCCCCTAAAAGCAAGCACATCACAGAGTATGATTTAAAGGAAACACAGCCCCCCCCCAATAGGAAGGACACCACAGTGTTGCTGGCCACATGCTCTGCTCGCAAAAAGACCCTTTAAAAGGTCTTTTTGGGAGTGGGGGGGGCTGTGGTGTGCGGGGCTGATTTCCCAGTGATGATTCGCTGCCTGGGATTCAGACACGTGCACTGCTGCCCCTCCAGCTGCCAGCCCATTCACAGCCAGCCCCGTATGCTGCCGCCCTGTTTGCAGCGAGCAGGGTGGTGGCGTGCGCGCCTGAATCCCAAGCAGCGAATCGCTTGGGATTCATAGCTACTGTAGCCAGGAAGAGATGATGCAAATGTTCTCTAATGTAATATTCTTGTACAATTCACAAGTTCTACCAGACAGTTAAGCTGGGGGGGGGGAGTCAAAGAGCAGAGAATGCTCAGTGTGGTCATTTGAGAAGAATGAACTCTCCAAAATGGAAACACATTTCACAGTAAATAAAAGGCTAAATGGCTTGAGAAAAAGAAAAATGTTGGAGCAGAACTGAAGCAAAATGCCTGGAGCATAGGACACTCCCGGAAGCAGGGAAGACCAAAAGCCTAAAGGAGAACTAAACAGGATTCAAAGTGAGGATGAGCTACAGCCCCCTATGATGTAAACATTATTCAGTGCTGCCTTAGGTTCCTTGGGGCTGGCAGCCTTGCCCAGTGCCATTAACTTTTTTCTCCCTTTTGTGCATACCCTCCTACCACCTTTCAGCATGCAGGGGAAATATGAACTGCCTGGCCTCTCCCGGTGCCACATCTCTCCTAAGCATTTCTATCAAACAGCCAAGTGCTTTTCTGGCTATATGTTGCAAAGTATTTATTGCACCCCCAGGTTTCTTTCTACTTGGTTATTTAATGGCTGTTGTGCCTTGTGCTAATGGCATCCCCTCTGGCAGGTTAAAGAATGGAGCTCTCTCTGGGGCAATCCATTCATCTTGTTTGCTGGAACAAACAGCCCATCGGCCCCTTGACTTGTGTCCATCCATGCAGAGCATAATTTGGACAGAAGCCACCCCGTCTCCTACACTCCTGTCACTGCTGCCATGTTCCTCTCCCTTCCTAGGCACTCTGGAGGAGCTGAACCACAATGGTTCTTTGGCCAAACTCATGTTACTCTATCAGACTGGCAACAGGACATCTTTCAACTGGACAGACAGCCGGATTGTTGAGTGGGAGAAGTTTGCTGAACTGGCTAAGTATGAACCAGAGTCACAAAAGCCCACAATGAAGGCTATCCTCATTGCGGCCTACACAGTCATCATCGTCATCTCTCTCTTTGGGAATCTGTTGGTCTGCCACGTGGTGATCAAGAACAAGAGGATGCGCTCAGCCACCAGCCTCTTCATTGTTAATTTGGCCATCTCAGACCTCATGATCACCCTGCTCAACACACCCTTCACATTGGTAAGTGCTACGCCACCCTGCCTTGGCCCCGGTCCAGCAAGGGAGGTCACTGCATTGTTCATATGGCTACTTTCTTGGAGCACATTCATTAACAATTCAGGTTCAGGTTATTAGGAAAGTCATAAGCTGAAAAAAGTGTGTTAGTGGGCTTGCAGAGGCCTTCGTGGGGAAGATGGGAGAGGAGAGAGGATGAGCGTAACCATTGTAAGGGACTAGTGGCTAACCCAATTACGTCAGATCTCAGAAACTAAGCAGGGTCCGCCCTGGTTAGTACTTGGATGGGAGACCACCAAGGAAACACACAGGAGCAGGCAATGGCAAAGCACTTCTGAACAACTCTTACCTTAAAAACCCTACAGGGTTTTCCACCACGACAGTGGCAGAAGCTCCTGTGGATGGAGGTAAAGGAGTGAGTGGGGAGACAAGCAGTATGGCTGGGATGCAGCAAGAAATAGCTACAGCTTTGTAGTGTTTTGTTCCATGCTATTCACCTTTATGGGTGTGCACAATAACCAGAATGTGCCTGGCTCAGATGGGATCTCTCTGAATGGTGAGGAGGGCTTGAATGCAAAAAAAGGAGAAAGACAGAGAAGAAATGAATTCTTATTCACTCTGGCTTGGTAGCTATGATTCCTTTAGTCTTCCTGATGACCAAGTTGGTTTTCCACAGGTTCGATTTGTGAGCAGCACATGGGTCTTCGGGAAAACCATGTGTCACATCAGCCGCTTTGTGCAGTATTGCTCCCTCCATGTATCCACACTGACCTTGACAGCTATAGCTCTGGACCGACATCAGGTATGGTATTCCTCCTCATCCCAGAAATACTTTGTTCTGAAACCAGCAGTGTCTTCACTGGAGAGTGGTAAGGAAAAGCAGTAGAAGGTGTTTCCTTAAGGCTTCACCCCGTAGAGTGGGATTGTGTTCAGGTGGTTTGTATTTGTTCTATGGCCAGTTCATATGATCTTTCTGGCCCAATGGAAGTTGCCTTTTAGAATCTGCACATGGCAGATCTTTAATCATCATGAACAGAAGGCCTGCACCTCTTGTGATCTACCAAGCATTAATACAAATGCAGATTTTATTTAGCAGCTTGTAAATATTCACAGAAACACCAGCTGTTTGGGATCCAGTTTTTAATACAGTTGGAAGCAGAATTTGGAGAGTTCTCTATGCACCTACATAAATGCCATCGAATCTCAGCCAATTCATGGCAACTCCAGCAAGGGGCTCTCCAGGTGGTTGGCCCTGGCCTTCCTCTGCAGAGTGGTAGTGTCCCGTCCAAGTACTGACCCTGCTTAGCTTCCGAGATTTGACAGGGTCAGGCTACACCATGCGCCCTTCCCGCCAGGAGAGTCCTTTAGTGGCTAGAATAATGACAGAATTCTAAAGTCAGCTTAACATTGAAAATGGTTAATGGATTCTTGTTACAGCAGAGAAATTACAGAATTAGAAAATTAAACCTGGAACATTCTCATGAGAGCACACAGAATTGACTAAAAAGTGCTCTTTTTATGGGAAAGATTAGTAATGCATTTGACGTCTCTCTAATAACGTAAGTATACATGTAATTTGCTTAAAAGCTCCCATTATGGGAGCCATCAAGGAATCCACCAAGGAGAGATTCATCTGAAGTCCTGTTTCTTTTAGGTCATCCTGAACCCACTTAAGCCAAGGCTGTCCCTGACTAAAGGAGCACTGAGCGTCTCCGTCATCTGGGGACTGGCCGCCTGCTTCTCGCTACCCCATGCCATCTACCAAAAGCTTCTGCAGTATAATTACAGGTGAGTTTTTAACCTAGCTTTTTCTCTCCATCAGACTGTGTGCATGTCACACTTTCAGACCGTCCCTTTGCTTGCTCTTGAAATGTGGCGTAAGTTAATAATTGAGGCAGTAGCAGTCTGTTGATTAATAATGTGTTGTTTTTAAATCTGTAACAATAAAAATGCAGAACAAGAAACGGATAAAATCTAAATAAGCTAATAAAATTTGCAGAAAACATAGACAAAAGCAACCCCCCCACACACACACACCCTACATATAAGGTGGCCAGTTATATCTAATCCCCACCCCCCTGTCGTCTTGCCAGCCAAGTTATCATGCTGGGCAGGTTGGTTCAGGAATAAATGTTCAGGATGGGGGGGGGGGGGGGACCACGTTAGGGTAAAGCAACCTCTCTGCAGTTCTGTGTTTTTCTATACCTCACAAGTTGACATTTTCTTACCCTAAGGACCTAGAAAGGACCCAGAAACAGCCTTTGGTACATATTACCTGTAGAAGACTATCTGGACACATATATGCATCAGATTCACAACTGCTAATCCAAACTCCACAAGACAGGACTTTTTGTTTAATGCAGATGTATATTTTCTTGCAAAGACCCCTGTGGCATGCAAGTAGAACTGGGCAGGGCGGGTTCTCCAGCCAAACCACTTAGGCAACAGCACAACAAGGAGAGGGCCACAATGCCGCTCAGTGGCTCAACTCACTACCCACTCTCCAGTGTGTGAGAAGTGACCTGCATTCCCTGCTGAGGCCATGCTGCCTGAGACCCAGGAGGGCCGGGGTGTAGTCGTGCACTGGGGGAGGGCCATGACTAAATATCTTGAACTGACCTGGAAGTGGATCCAGAGACCTCATGTCAAAGACACAATACTCTGCTGCTTTGAGGTACCTCTCCTTGTCCTCAAGCAAAGACGAAGGTGTAGCCTTGAAAGCCAAGCCCAACCATGAGACAATCTGCTGTTACAGAACCAAGTCTCCAGCCACTCCGTTCTGGGACATGCTACTATTACCTGTCCAATTTGTCTGCACTGTTGCGGACAATAATTAACTGTTGTCATCACAACCAACCAATGATGTCCCCTCAGAGGGTTCAAGGCAAGATAGAAAGAGAGGAACTTTGCCATGGTCTTCCTCTGCATGACAACACTGAGCTTTATTGGGGTCTCCCAATCAAGTGAGAAGGACTAACCACAGTCAATCCTGTTTAGCTTCTGATTTCTGACAAGCTCAGGCTAGCTCTGCCCAAATATTATCTATGCAAATGCCACATTTAGCAGCTAAGCTATAAATGCATAACTTTAAACATATTGCAAAGCCTTTACTCTTCGTTTCAATGTCTCTCCTAGCAACAGACACCATGACCTAGCCCTTTAATATCCAAATGTTGGAGACTAAAGAACTGAGACCGACAGATTAGACTTATCAGTACATCTAAATTGGATGTGGAACTCAGAACAGTGGGTGAAAGACTAACCCTCTCTTCACTTCCTCATAAATGCAAATTCTCCCTTTTGCCTTTTCAGCTAGTTTTTCGCTTTTTCTTCAGTCTCTCTAATATAAGTTTGCTCTCCTTCCCTCATATAAGTTATTGCTTTTAATTTTTAATGTGCAATAAAAATGCATGGATATGGCACTGTTATGTTCTGAGTTATACTTAAACTGTTGTGTTATGGTTTGTGCTGAAGCATTCTAGTTCCTCCATTATGATTGGCCACCTAATAAAGACCTTCTAGTGGTCCTGAAGCCAGACAGTGTACCCAATCAGGAGGCTCCGTTTAGGTCCAATCAGAGCTCATGGAAGTAGCAACATTGTATATAGTTCAGTACTGGAAAGGTATAAGTTTGGGTGCCGCTCTTATCAGAGCAGATCAGAGTTGAGCAATGTTATGAATAAAAGCCTCGTTATTGATCATCGTCTCCTGCTTGTCAATACTTAAAACTGGCGATGAGGATGGGATCCCAGGCCTAACCGAACGGGGAAGTCACTCTCTGCCTGCCCAGACTGAAATCACTGAGGGCGCCTAGAGATAAATCACTACGGGCATGGCATCCAAGGGCCATATCGAACTGTTCGACCCCAAGGTTGGGAACTGGGAATCCTACCTCGACCGTTTTGAATGCTTCCGTATAGCAAACGGTATTGAAGGAGACGCTGTCTGCCGTGCCACCTTTTTGAGTACCTGCAGCCAGTCTGTATTCGACATTGCTCGGGACTTAGTAGCTCCATCTAAATTACTGGAGACATCCTTCGATGTCATTAAGGAACGACTCAACAGCTATTTCACACCTAAGATGTCTGCTACTGTACACCGATGTGCTTTCCACCAACAAAGCCAGAAAGAGAACGAGTCTGTCACGGAATACATCACCGCATTGAGAAGGGCTGTTCGTAACTGCCAGTTCCTGAATTTAAAGTCAGTCCTGATTAGAGACGACAGCATCAAGCGAGCACTTATTTTACAAAAAACCCCTCACTTATGAATCAGCACTCAAAGAAGTGCTGAGAGTGGAGGCTGCCAACATTTCTCTTCGCAAGCTGTGTTTGAGTGCTCAGAGTCACATGTCATGCCGCACCGACGCTGTCCACCATGGCGTTACCACAGACTTGTCTGATTCCAGAGATGACCAATCAGAATCGTCTGATGATGGAGTCCACAGAACGGGAGCCAACCAGAAGCCACGCCGTTTTCAAAAAAGCCCGCGAAGAGGAGTGTGTGCCGGTTGGTCTCTACAGCATGCTCATAGAGACTGTAAATTCCACAATGCTAGTTGTCATTTTTGTGGAAAAACAGGCCACATCGCTAAGGTCTGCCACTCATCACAAAGTCGTTCTACACCTGAAATTCTTTGTCATCTGGGAAGATCTTCTAGTAAGTCTCACCACTCATCTCATTTCTCGTCCTCTCATTCATTCAATCGATGGTTTAAATACAGCAATGAAGCAAGAATGTCAGAAGACTACACTAATCGCCTATACATACACTAAGGTCTTCACACTTGTCCCAAGATCAAAGTTACTGTCTTCCTTGAGGGCTGCGCTTGCCAGATGGAGGTTGATTCCGGCTCCGCACTGTCAATTGTCTCGTGGAACACTTTTCAACGAGTCTGTCCCAGGTTCTCTGCACACCGTCTCCAGAAGTGCAGTCTGCAGCTTTTTGATTTCCAAAGATACCCAGTTCCTGTCATTGGTATTGCCTCCGTCCAAGTCAAGTACAAGAAATTCCACAGTCGTCTTAATTTCCTCATCGTTAAAGGTCGCCGCACAAGTCTTATTGGTCTGGACTAGTTCACCACCCTCAGTATTGAAATTAGCAGCGTCAACGTCATTTCGTTATTTTTTTGCCACACAATACATGACCAAAGCCAACTGCTGAAGGACTGCTGTTCAGAATTTTCCACTTCCAATTTCTTTCAGCGTCTCTCCTCACACAGGCAATACATTCCTATTCATCTCCATCCTAGTTCAGTTGGAAAAATGTATTTCTCCTGATCTCATTGGCTGGCTCACACAAAGCCACAACAGCAGCCTTTCGGTTCCCGGAGAGCAGTATGCGTGCAGCTCAGAGGCTGCAGTTGCCACCTCGTATCGAGCGGTTGTTCTGCTCTGCTGTCACAGTCTCACAATGGACACTGCAAGAGGCACAAACGTGGCTCAACAACCTCTTATCTGCACAGAGAACAGCCGTTATATTTTTACATGTCCTGCAGGAATGTTTGTAACTAGATTTCCTGGTGGGCAAGATCCACATGATGGTGGCAGACCTATGTCTCCAAATACCAGACAGCTATACAGCTGCAGGCAGGTGCTTAACTCCCCCCCTCTCTGTCCACACTGGGGAAGGGGAAGGGCTGTGGAGGGGAAGGACCTTGGCAGGCTATAATGCCCTAGAAGCCATCCTCTAAAGCAGCCATTTTCTCCAGGGGGACTGATCTCTGTCATCTGGAGATCAATTGTAATAGTGGGCCCCACCTGGAAGTTGACAACCGTGGTCCACAGCTTTCCCCCTACAGCTGCTCCCCATGTTACTTCTACCAAACAAGCTTGTTACCAGTCTTGGTGCTTAGCTGGAAGAACGACTGGTGATGGGAGGAGGCTGGGAAATGAGTGGGAGGCAGAGAATGGCTCCTGAGCTCCCTCCCATCTAACACTTTTACACTTTAAAATGCCCCTCTAAAATCAGGTTGTCAGGCCTAGCAGGAGGTTCAAGGGTAGAGACTGGGCAGGGGGCATGAGATCATGAGCGCTGCCACGTCACTTCCAGGTAAAGCCACAGAGTTGCTGGCTATTCCTATAGCTAGTGTGGCCTAGGAGCTCACGCAACACTGACTTTCCCCCCTCCTGCTGCAGCTTGGAGGAGCATCGGCAGGCAAGGAGAGCCAGCAGGGGAGGCCTCCCGCCATGATGGTAGGCCTGGCAGCCCAGCCCTAAAGATAATAATTAAAAAATAAACCACTCCCCCCCCCACACACACTCTCTCTTTATCAGGGTTTGATGGCCACCCGTATCGGCCTCCATCTCACCGTGCACCACTCCAGAAGCGCAAGCAAAGGCTGCTCCAGGGGTCTGTTCTGAAAGAGGTGAAGAGGCCAAAGTACTAAATGAAACAAATTCGGGTGCCTGATAGAAACAGCAACATCATTATGTTAAGAGCTTTCCTCCCATTTCCCAATTGTTCTCTTCTCCCCATTGCCACTGATTTATTTCACAGTTTGATTAATATCTTTAATATCCTGTATTCAGCCTCCTGCACTGCATCATGGGGAACACAATAGCCAGTGCATGGAATGGCTGAATTATTAGCTCAGTTGGTTCCTGATGAGTTGCAGATGAATACCAACTATTCATTTAAAAAGAGTGGTGGTTGTTCTCAAGAAAATGAATTTTCTAGGAGCCCTTCTCATGTTGACTGCTTATTTAGTGCTAACAGACCTGAATACAATATGTAAATATTATGGCGCCATGGAGAAATTAGACAAAGCTAAGAGGGCAGGCTTAAAAAAAAAGTAACAAAGGACTTTTGGGGAAGGGGGGGGTGTTGAAGGGCACTGAAGGCATCTCCTCAGCACTCCGAACACCAATCCTGAAATGCTGCCATTTCCCCTAGGGCAGAGATAAAAAATAAGGCCAAGGCCAATGGTGCAAGTAAAGTAACAATTATATTTTATTACTCAGTTAAAAATTCTGCATGTGTTTTACCAACAGGCTTCTTTGGGGGAATATGTAATATAAAATGCAATACTGATTTCTCATAATTACAGAGTAATGGTTATTCAGTTATAATTATGTAAATAAATAAAACATTGTCTTAAAAACTAAATTGAAATTTGTACAATATAATATCAACCAGATAAAAAACTATTAAGTGTAAACGCTAGAGCTTATTCTGTCCTTATAACTGCATGAAAGAAAATGAGGGAGAGAGAAAAACACTCGCTTTGTAAGAGAGATGAGAGAGAAACTATCCAGCACCCACCAGCTTTGGGCTCAATTTTAAAAGAATCTTTCTTCTGCGTAGAAACCTGTTAGTCTTTCAGTGTTCCTTCAACAAGAGTACACTCAGTAGCAATTGCCGATGAAAGGATCCTTCAGTAGATATCTGTGTTTATTTGAAGCAATGTCTCCCTATTTTACATGAGATGATGGATTTCCAGAGCCAAATTTAACCCTTTAGTAGTCATGGTCTGGAGTCTCACAATCCAACAGCAGTCTCTCATTTTCAAAAGTTACTTTTTGCACAGCCCGATAAAGTATTTAGCCAATGGAGCCTGTGTTCTTTTCAATTTAATTTGACTTTTATGTTCATATTGCATGTTAACTTACAACAATTACAGTGTGCACAGTGTTGTGTTATGAGCTGAATAAAGAAATTGTTGCGGGAGCGAGAATGTAGCGGTCCAAGACACCAGCCTTTAAAGCAAGTCAGCACCCTTAAGGTCTTTCCAGCCTCCCAGCCTTACCAGCTCTTGCTGCAGTCTCTGCTGTGAAGTCCCTTATAGTAACCACACTGCACAGTCCAGTGGTACACTATGTACAAGGGTTTTATTCACAGAATATACAAACAAACTGCTTCGCCAGACGCTCGGTTTCTCAGAAGAGAACGTACATGGCTTCTGTACAAGACTTATATACATGAGCCCACCAATCAGCTGCAAGCTGAGTCATGGTGACTGCACACTGTTCAGTGCTAGCCATAACCGGTCAGAACCAGGCTTAACTCACCACCTGCTGACAGGTAGCTGTCAGTTTACTGTCAGGTAGATCATACTGATCTTCCTACTGGAGATTAATATTACAACAGAAATCACTTGTTGAAACGCTGCCTCAAGCTCAGGACATAATACTGGAGACAAGGATGGGATACAGTGGGTAGGCAGCCCCACAGAACCATAGCTGATCACTACAGCAAGCAAGGAACTGTCGCCTTGGCCCTCGGAAGGAGCCAGAGAACACAGCCACCTGCCACTCCAGTGCAATACTACAATGGCCACCAAGGGCCACTTCGAATCATCTGATGTGACTACAGAGG